TCTGACATACTTGATGAAGTTGCTACAAACAGGAAGAAAAGAACTCATTGAAAGCTGATTCTTACAGATCATCAGACTGAATGACTGAGTATTCATCATTATGACAGAAAGATTCCCAGCCATTAAGAATGCAGATAGCATCCACACCAGCTATTAATAATACATTAAAAATAATCCATGTTCCTGAGGCTTTGTACCATCACAGTTCACAGGGCTTTAAGATCACATTGTCCTTTTTGCCTGGGAACCTACCCTTAAACCAAAACCACAATACCAGCAACAAGCTGGCTCACAAGGAGCTAGCTCAGACACCCAGGGACCCCTGATATTTGTTGTAACTGTTTCATCTCAGCTTTAGTGTAGAAGTACATGATGATGACTAGGCAGCTCACACTGTTTATTTTGCTGTGTACCTCACAGATCTCCAAACTCAACTGAGCAAGAACACGGCAAGAAAAAAAGACTCGAGCCAAAGCTTCATCTACCTATCCCCCTATGACTTTCTGAAAACAGCTCACAGCAAATCTCCAGGGAAGGCAGCTTGACAGTGGCAAGCACATAGTAACAACTCCCCAAACTGGCCTCCTAGTCTGAAAAAAAATGTGGGTCGGGAATGTTCAGAACCAGAGCCAAAATCTCTTTTCAAACCTTTGAGCTCAGAGATCTCAGCATCACAGCCTGAACTGACCAGACATGCTATTTCCAGCAGTGCCCAAACATCTTTCACGATTTGAGAGCAGCCACATAACTCACAAAACTGTAACTCCATTCTTTCCATACACCCTTGTGGCCTGTTCCCAAAAAAGAAGATCAGCAACACTGCTCTAGTGCCTTCAAAACATTATTCAGCATATTCAGGTTTAAAAGACAGTTTCTATGCAGTACGGTCGCACGAAATGACACCGCCACCGTGTGGTCACGTACATAAAACCGTTAAGGGGTCAAACAATTTAATCTTCATCCTTACGACTAGATACAATGCATTAAATCTCAAGTTCGTATTTTTTCTGTACCATCACAACTGTGTTGAGTTAAAGAACAGACCATATTGTAAATGTTACAGCCTTAATGTAATTCCTTTTCCAGAAGTCATCAAGTCAGGAAGAAAGCAAACAAAAATCATCCTGAAGACTGGGGTGAAGCATGTGGTTTCAATCTAACTTTCATTTAAGATTTACTTTTTCAAACTACCAAGAATCACATGGACTAGGGAGCCTAAATTTGGAAACTTAGATGCACAAGAAAGAAGAAAGAAAAGGATGAGAGATTTAGAGAAAAACTGACATTTCTTTTCTTTTACAACCTACACTAAATGCCTCAAATGTTCTTGTTGTACACAGGCATCTAGATTTCAAAAACCTGGTTAAAAGTTAACATTATAAAATTTATAACATTTACAAAAGTCCTTTTTCATTCCAAATGAAAGTGAAAAGAAAAAATAGCAACTTGGCAGTCAAACTCCAAGAATTCCTGATGGGGTCATGCAACAAATAAGGAAGTTAAATGGGTGCTTGGGGGCTGAGAGAGGATTAGCAATTAACTTTAGTTCACAGACATAAAGTACACAGTATCTGTGAGAAAAATCAACTGTTAATAACAATATTAATATTTACCTCAGCTATAAGAAAAGCAATGGCCTTCAGAATCCAAGATCCTATTTGTACTGACTTTCAAAAGTTAGCCTGAAAGTTTCTGATATAGTGATCTTGCAGGGGTTGCATACCTGCCTTATCTCAAAGCATATTAGGAACACCAGGAAAACAAAATGCCCCTTCTTTCTGAATGCAGAGCACTCATTCATTTTACCTGTCAATCTAAAATCATGCCTTTTCAAATTATATTTTTGGGGTTCCTTTACTGACGTCTTGCAAATCAAAACCAGACACACCTGTTACCAGTTTCACCAATAGCCTGAGACAGCACAGAGTACGGATTCAAGCCTCTGTTGCTTTTAATTGCAAGTACTAGTTCATTCTTAAAATCTCCACATCCCAATTAAGTACTTAGAGTATCAACTATTTTAGGACAACTGTTTTTATTGGAATTTCTCACCTTCATTTGAGAAGTTGTCATACTAAACTATCCCTTTCTGACAAAAACTTCTTTAAAAGTTTTCTTTTCTATAGAATGGATTATAACCTCAAACTAAGAATCTTCTGAAGTATGATTAAAATATTTGTTAAAATGTCAAAGTAAGGAAGGAAAACAACCACAAGCCTTCCATTAACATACCTGACATTTCTTTCCCCTCAATGACAGCTCAGCCTGCCTTCGAGGGGATGCAGCAACTCCTTTCACTTCCAAATCCATGCAAGTTCAATGATAGCTTTCAGAACAAACTGAAAAACAGGAAAGACCACTATTTTTTATATAAGTACTTCTGGAAAAAAACCCCACGTTATTGCATTAGAAAGAATTTGGGTATTGTCTTCAGCAAGCTATGAAATGTTGCTGGCTTCCCTTTTTCACCACTTCTTAATTTCAGTCTTTCCTTACTAATGCTTAACCAGATTCCTGTTCAAATGTACGTCTTTGTCTCAATCTTAACTCCCTCTTTCCCTTACACTTCTTGATAGTTTCTCATATAAGCATTACTAATTTGCTACCCCTTCGCAACATCAAACCTTTTGTACTCTTCACTTACAACTGCTGGCTCTCCTTCCCACCATGCCCTGGGAACAGGTAATTTCAGGAAGACAAAAGGGCCCTCCCGACACACAGCAAGCCTCCGAGAGCTCCAGAAAGACGTTCATCTTTATGCCATCTCCTGCTCTGCTGGCTTCTCCTTCCACTCAGCCCATTTTGAACCTAAAGCCCACCATTTAGTTCCCAGCAATCGGACGCTCCATTTCCAAACCATCCCCCACAGAAGGTGACCGCATTTCTAACTACATACAGTGTTTCAATCCCCAAGCGCCCACTCCTGTCCCGAGCGGCGGCACGGCTGCGAGGCCTCCTCGGATGGGCACAGCCGCTCGCTCCCGCACACACTTCCAGCCATTCCCCCTCAGGGCATGCGGAACGCCCTCGCACGGCCTCCAGCCTCTCCTGAAATGGAGTATCCTCCCACCTGAAGGCACAGAGGGGAGAGAGCACTGTTGTACTTAAAGGTTCACACGCCGAAATAACTTTTATCACGAACAAGAACGCTGTAAGAGGCGAAATAAACAAAATGGGCTCGGCAGCTCCAAGGAAACGATGCGTTTTCCCAGGAGAGGCGCGGGGCACCGGGCGGCTCCCGCCGGGCTGTGTCTCACCGGAGCCGTCCCCCCGCGCACGGCCGGCGGAGCGGGCCCGGCCCCCGCGCGTCTCCAGGGTGCCCGGGCCCCACCTGCCGCCGAGGGCGGGGGCCGATCCCAGCCACGCTTCGGGGGCACATCGCCGCAGTGGGCAAGCGGAATTCCCGATTGTTCCTACGCCCTGCCCGGGGCACGGCTGCGTGCCCGGCTCTCCCTGCCCGCCCTGCCCCGGCGGCCCCCGCAGCCTCGCCGGGAAAGCCGGGCGCGTACACACCGCACGGAGTCGAGTCCTTCACAAACCCCGGCAGTCGGAATCGGAGATTTCAAAATTGCAGCGAAAGGGCTCACGGTGCCCTGGGTCCGAAATACAGCGATTACCCCAAAGTAGCCCAAATCTTTTCGGATAAGGGCTCCAAGTATCAGCAGCATCCGAAGACTAGGGGACATGAAAGCCACCACAGCGATGACTCAGTCACTGCCGCGGGCAGGGAAATCCTGCGGGAAAGGACACCAGCACAGCGCCTGGAAGGCAGCAGGACTGACCTGCATTCTGCAAACACTTCGGCAGCACAGCACGCCTGGCTCCCATTCCCCTTGATCAATGGCTTTGATCACTTCATTCAGTTCACTTTATTAAGCATCTCAGAGAAAAAGCCTGTATGCAACAATGACTTTTTCAAACAGTTCCAGTTGTCCTGAATGACCAGACCAACATCAGGTATTTTTAAAAATTCATTTGTGTCCAAGTACTACTTCTGATTCGTCCGTTATGTCTTGGGGGAAAAATCTGTGCCCCCTTAAGAAACCCTAGCTTTGTACTCCATCAGTTTTCCAAAGTTAGGCAAAATCTCACTTACTGCAAAACTACTAGTACACTGACACTAAGGATGTATTTCTGGCTGCTGCTATTTTCAAGCCTGTGTGATTCAGTTTTAGGACCAAAGACATACCATGTTTATACACCAGAATGAACAATTAATTCCATTCCAGTGAGTGACACAGTAATGGATTTAGTCCCTTTAAGTACAGTACATTTCCTCCAGAAAAACAAATCCACATGCTATTTTCCTGTAAGAATAAGGATGGCAAAAGAGTTCAGGCATTATAACTGGCCTACTTAAAAGCTACGCAATTATAACACAGAAAATTTAATAGCTTTGTACTGTCAAACGTACCTCTAAGGGAATGCCTGTCATTAAAGGCTGGCAGTACCGCAGGCATGTGTGTTAAGTGAACAAAAAAATAGTAAAAAATGAAGGTATGGACAAAAATTATTCTGGAAAAGGAAAACAAACGTTTTTCTTAACAATGACCTAAAAAGGCCACTATCGAGCTGGCATAATGTACTGAAAAAAGAACCCCCCATACCCACAGTTCTTCAATGATACATAGCAATAAATCTGTTAATTCTGACGTAAGAAAAATTGTATTAAAATGAATCAAAAGGCGAGATTCTATTGTGTTAAACATGAAATGGTGATGTAGTACTAATGGGTTAATCAGTTACTAGACAGCTGCTGAGTTTAACCAGTGACAGGTACGGAAGGAATTAAGTGATCCAGTATAATTCATTAGGGTTTAAATTGACATACAAAACTACACATAATTACTTAGGAGACTGCAAACTCAGATATAATTATTTTTACATAGTGTCCATAGCTAAATTTCTCTCTCCAAATAAACTTAACTATGAATTGATCTCAAAGACTTAATCCATACTGCTTTCCGTACCACCCTAGAGAAATGTTTTCCACAAAGAGCTAAATTCACCAGTGCATGCTCTTTAATGAACTCAAGAAAGTCACAGTTCAAGTGGCATCATGCTTACTAGTTATAAAACATTTATGAAACATCTCTACTTTACAGTCTCAATTAGAAGACATTCTAATATTTCAGTGAAGCATCAGATGTAATTACAGTGCATTATATACAGATTACAGAAATATTCTGATAGGGAAAAATAAATAAAGTATGTAAACATCCTGAGTAAAATTCTGCTGCCACTGAAGTCAGTTACAGAATTGTTGTAGATATGAGCACAGGCAGTATTTCACTGCTCTTTTTAAAGCATATAGCAGTGCATGTTAAGTTGATTTAAAACAGTTCAAAGTGCATACAACGTTATAAAAAAAATGCAAAAGCTTTTAAAGTTTTACATATGCAGATTCCATTCATATCTATTGCGTCTCCTCGGTCCCATCACTTCTGATTCAGTGGCATCTTTGTTTATCATTTCTTGGTCTTCTAGGACATCTGGCTCCAGCTGATGTATTTCACATTCATCGTGTAATTCATGCTCTTCTATTTTGTAATCATTACTATAATCTTCAAGCAAATCTTCATAACAATCATCTTCTCCGTTGTCCATTTCTTTCTCTTGAGAATGTTCAGCAAATGACTGAATGAGATCTTCAAGTTTCTCATTACAGATGTGGCCAAGATCTTGGAATACACAAAAAATAATCAAAATGAATCTTTACTGGAAAGGCTCTAAATTTCAGGGTCAGTTTAGAAGTAGAATATTTTTTCTGTTTGTTTTTTTCTCTTTTATTAAACTCAAATAATGCAAAAATTCCCCAAATTTCTAGTGAACCATTCTTAACATTTTTTTACCTGGGCTACTATGCAGCTCTTGGAAGTCTTCAGTTGAAACTACAATTTGCTGTTTAGTGTTTTATGCAAGCATTACCCACAGCCTCAGAGATCCTCATTTGGGAATCCTCAGACTAAAGTTAGTCCAATACTAACAGACTGCTTAGGAACTGACATTCAAAAAGCCTGTTTTAACAAAGGAGAATGCGACTGTGTGGTCCATCCCAGTTCAATGTCTTTTAGCACCTATTCTTAAAAAAACATAATGTATCAAAAATTTGAAATTGGATATACCTAAAACAGGAAGAATGGTACTCCTCCAGAATAAAACTAATTCCACACAAATTACCTAAGGTGCAGGAGCTGAATATTATTATAGTAAGATCTATTTATTCTTTTAAAATATAAAATACTTAGTTATCTACCCATCTGAAAATTAAAGTACCTTTCATCTTGTTTTCTGATTTATCCAATCCACTTTCTTTCATCAGTCGTCTAATTGATTGGAGCTGTGTCATTATTTCATCTTTCTGCTCACAAGCTAAAGCATTAACACTAGAAGAAAAGACAAATGTTAACAGCTGAAGGATTATCTTGGAAGTGAGTGCTTGATAAAAATGCACAAGACTGAAATACTTCCTTCCATGGATAAATACCATAGTTAACTTAGTGACACATTTAGGTCAAGCTTTCCTTGAAGAACTGTCTCTTGAGAAGTGGGGAGCCCATCACATACGCCTACTGAATAATCTAGTCACTGAATTCTAACATTGGAGCCCCAATGGCCAAGGCTGAGTAATGACTACCGAAAGGAACAATTAACCAAAGTTATTTTTAGTACAACAACGCCTAATACAGAACTTTTCAGTTTAGAGGCTCTTCTCATTTAATTCAGACTTACTTTACTCTCCTGGCCATCACTACTAGGAACTTGTTAGGCAAATTGGTCAGTGGATTTGCTGTTTAACAGTTTCAGCACATATTAAGTTCGGAAGTACACTAAAGGAACAATCATAAAATTCTGCATGTTTTAACCTGAGTTTCATGAAGGATGTCAGTCCACAAAATGGACTGCATGGATATTTTTATTTCTAGTAGATGAGTAAGGCTCTAGCTTCTTAAGAAAGGAACTTCTCTAAAACTACAAGGAGTATATATTACTGATTCCCTTGTCACACTACAACAGAGAAGTTATATTTCACTGAAATACACACACACTTTACAGGTTCATTTCAAAACTCAAAAATAAGCAGCTATACCTTGGTAACTAATTTTTTCTTCTACTTGCATCTAAAGGAAGAAACTCTTTCTGCTACCAGAAATGTAATTCTCACAATGGCTTTCAAATGCTACTGAGATTAAGTATATTTCCAGTATTAGTCTCCTTGGTCAATATTAAAGTTTAACTCATTAAGCCACAGTAACACAATCGTAAGTCTGAACTTTTGCATTCATGTTTGGTGAACAAGAGATGGGAGGTATCTGTAGAAAAGATTGCAAACTGCAGAAGAGGTATTACCTGCAAAAGGCTACAGAAGCAGTAATTAATTAAAGAAGGTTCCTAAAAACTGTTCCTTACCATATATATATATGGATCATTTTAAGAATTCTGTTAACATTTTGGCAAATTTCAATTTACAGAAAACTACACTGAGAAGTTTCAGAAACACTCACCAGTTTGAAAGTGGATCCAACTGAGTCAATAAAGAATTTAACATTTTCTCTGTCTGTGCTAGATGCCGTTCCAGTTCTAAAAGCTGATGCTCTAATAAAAAAAAAAGAAAAAAAAATTTTAAAAAAGAAGGGGGGTGGGGAGAGGAGAAAAAAGGGAAAGAGGGGGACAGGAGAGAGAACTTTGTTAGAAATGTCTTTACAATACCAGAAGGATATTAATTTACATTTTGGTTGGGCAGATTCAAAAACAGGAAGTTTCTTTTATCTGTAAAATTATAGAATGTGAAAAGGGAGTGGTGGGGTTAAGAACAGAAGCCTTACTATGTGTGAGCAAAATCCTTCCCACCCAATAACCTATCTCCAATAGTCCCCAAACAGAGGACACCTTTAATGAAACTGAATGAGAATGTGAAGCTCACCTTCCCAGTCACAAAAACTATGTAGTTCCAAGACTTCCTGAGGTGTAAGTACTGTATTTATACTTAATATACAGTCATGAATTTCTCCACTCACATCTCACAAATATATTTAACGCTGAATGCACTAGAATCAAGAAGAGTGATTCTTCTAAAGCTGTATTGAACTTTGAAGAAAGAAGAATCCAACAGGCAAGGATGGTGACTAGGCAGTGTAACAAATCACTTCTGAACCTGATTACAGACCTGGTGAATGGAGACACCGAAAGAGGCTGATAGTTGTTTAATTCACTAAAAATGGGTCTGTACAAGGGGGGCAAACATACGAAAACAGCTCAACTTTGATGTGCCATCAAATAATTATAACGTATTTAAACTGAAGAAAACCCAACAGATCTTAAGTGAAAGAAACATCAGACATTAAAAGACAGAGAATCATACTATATTACTATAGCTGTTTTAAAGAGTATTACCATCTGCAGTATTTAAACAAACCTCAAACAAGTGTTTCAAATATACAGAATAACAAAGTGGTTTTTTGTAGGTTGCTAACTGCTCTTAAGTAACTTAAAAGATTGTTCTTATTCAGTTGGACTGCATCAACAAAAAACATGTAGCTTTGGTCCAGCAGGCAGTAAGTGTATGAAAATATGCATTCTGAAAGGGTATCTTACCCGTTTCCTTTGCCTTGTCTTCTGTACTTTTTTCCTTTTTGGAATGACTTTCTTCATGTGATTTCATCTTTAATAAGTACAGTGTTAAAAAACTTCATCATTATTTGTGTATTAAGAACAAAAATGCATTTAAAAATTTACTGAAAGTAAACAGCAACCACAAAAATGTACTACAGTAATGAAACTTTTCTTCTGTGATGCCTGCTTCCTGTCTTAAACTAACACTTCTGATTTTATGCAATGACAACATGACTAACAAAAGCTTTAAAAGAAAGCAGTTGCTATTTCAACTTCGGTTTTCCCAAAGGAACAGAAGAAATCTTCTAGGTTACTGCATCCGTTCTCTTACCGTTAACTAGGAGATAAATTTCTTTCTTACAGTATAAACACGTTATTATAAAAATATTTATGTTTTAATCCAACAAGCCCAAGTGTAAAGAGTTGTAACCACCCAAAATAAGATTTTCATAATTTTTAAATATTAAACTGGGCATCCTCTACACTCATTTTGCTAAGCTGTGGTATTTTTCTCATATGTGAAATAAGACACTGACTACGGAAATGAAGATGCCATCTCCAGTCCTATTCCTGTTTATTTTTATTTCCCCTGAAGGCAAGCAACAATATTGCAGGTGCACTCTCAGTATTGCAAGTGCTATAATATCTCTTCCTATAAATAATACATATCAAGACTCGATTTTTTTTTAAAAACAACTCATCATGCATTCTCCTTTTTTAATTTACAAATGGTAGAAAAGGCATCCCATTACATGAATAAAACGTAGGTTGCAGATGCACGATCAAATGAGAAGCCCAAATAAAAGGTTCAGTCTAGTTGCTATTCTATCTTACTGCTAATCAAAGACAATTGCTCTGCAGGAATTGTCCACTTCCTTCCCATACTCAACCTCATTATGAAGAATGAAAAAGAAATGAAGTACTGATGAGGCTTAAGTTACAGCCTCAGGTAGCAGCACTGTTTAGGTTCTCAGATTCTTATTTGAGGCTGCAGGGTGGGTAAGAGTCTCACTTCTTCAAGTGTCTAAAAATAGGTAAGTCAGAAGCCTTCACAAGTAAGAATGAGATACACTAAAATTTTAACTTTGGACTTCACATTCAAAGTCAAAGAGAGCAAGAAATGGCTTTCTGACACCCACATACATGGTCTCAGAACTGGAAAAACAAGCAAGCCAAGCAGTTACGTTTCCTTCTAATTTCAATAATTTAATGCTTTTCCTATGGCTTACCTTAAGAAGTTTGTATGCTGCAAACATTCCCACTCCAAGAGCATACAACGGCATGAGGGTGAATGCTAACTCTCTACCATTTCCTCTTGTTGTCTCACTTTTTATCTCTTTTTCCATTGCATTTCTCATCTGTTGAATACTCTGGTAAGTATTACTGTCAGAATTTCCTGGATTTCGATGAACTTGATAAACTGTCTGAGGACTACCTTAAAAATTAAATTGAGAGAAAACCAACAAAGTAAGAAAGGAAATTAGGAGTCCACAAATGCAATTAAATTGTTTTTCTCTTGTGTAATCATCTTTGTTCATCACTCTTTTAAGATAGTGTGGGCAGCCCTGCATCCAAATAAAAAAATTAAAAATCAGTCTTACATTAACAGGATGCACAGTTGAATCTAGGTAGCAAAGACTCTCAAACCAAGCTTGGTTTCTATAATATACAAGTTTTAAGCTTTTTCCTTCACAGCAACGTTGGCAAACCTTCAGCAAACCACAGAAAGGTAGATGTAAAAAGAAACAATTTAAGTCTTGAAAGTAAAGCAAATTCAGAGAAACTACTGATAATGCTGAAAACAGTTAGAAATTAATATTTTTCCTCTAACAAAAGAAAGGAGTTATTTAAAAACTGAATTGTCTGGTTGCAGAAAAAAAAGGTTTTGTTGAAATACACATGGTGTGTTGCTGCTTTCACTATTTTGACAGTAAATTCAGTGTTACATGGATATTCCCACAGGCTTAGAAGTACTTTATCTCCGCAAATCAAATATTTAGCATGAAAAGATTACACAATAGTAAAGACATGCAACTTTGGAAGTCTGCAGTATTTTTGCATGTAATTTGCCTGCCAGAACAAGGAGCAGATGAAAGCACAGCTAGCATCATTGTTCAACTTAGGCATTAGGTTATTTGGTAGTTAAATCAGGGGTTCATGGGACATGGAC